TAGCAACAGAGAAAATAACCTTAAACTTCCCTATCACTGTGCCACTGAATGTCGACGTGCAGACTGCCTTGTCTTGTGTCTTTCCAAAGAAATAACTCAGCTTTTAAATGGAGAGCACATTCACCTGTGGCATATTTCCAGTGCTGAAAATTAACACTCTGTTATAATTTTGATCATCAGGCATACCTTGAAGGCTTCCACAAGTTTTGTGAAGATTTAGGAGGAACAACAGCAGATGTTATGTGCCCAATTCTTCAAGTAAATGAAATTTTCTGTCCTCTTAGTTCTTAGGTAGCATTTGAATGTTTTCCTCTTTTGGCAATAAGAGAATAGGGTCAATGTTTTACATATGAATGGCTATATATATCTTAAAGCATATACCGGTATATGGAGAGCCATTGTCACTTGGATGCATTTTGCCTCAAACACTTATTAAGGGAACCACTAAGAGTGACCAGCATCTAATTTCTCCTTGCAATACCTCCCCTCAAACACTCATTGAGGTCCTGTTCATTGTCTGAAGAAGTCAGGTGTTATGGAAAGGAAGTTAGTTATGGTGTATTCCAGCCTGATTCCTTCAGTGTTGGAATATGCCTCCCCAGTTTGGGTAAACCTGCTTGATTATCTTAGCCTCCTAATTGAGAGTGTGTAAATAAAAGCCTTAGAAATAATCTTTCCTGGGCTTCCCTACAGGGAGGCACTTGTGCTGTGTGGTCCTTGCACTCTCTCTGATCGGCGTGCCACTGCATGCACTAAGTTTATCCAGAGAGTTTGGGACACTGGTGTCCTTGCTAACCCTCTGCCACATCACACAACTGTGTCCCATGGATACAATCTACACTCAGGCACTCTTAGAGATGATCCCGCTATGGCTTTTACTAACCGTCTCGATAAATCTATTACATATAGATATTCTTACTTAAATGTTTCATGTTATTGTATAGATATGATTTGTATCCTGACCACTCTTGTAATTTAGCTGTAAGCTACAAAAAGAGTAATTAAACTGATTATTATTATTATTGTTATTATTATTATTATTATTATTATTATGAGAAATAAGAAAATGATCAAAAACTATAGAATTTCTTGACTTAAATAAATTCTCCTTGTCAGCATCTTTATAAATGTATGGAGAATGTGAATGGTATGGAGAATATGCATACTGATGTTTGAGTATTAAAGGTTAACAAGTATATTGCAAGGATTTTTCAATATCAGGGCTGTGGTCTAGCAGTGCCCGGTGGCTCCTGGTGCCTTACATTTGTTCTTGGGGGACCCAGGAATCTTAGTTTTTTTTCATAAAAAGCAGATGCTAGGCACCCTGGATTTCACAGTTTCTGAGCACTGGGCTCTCTTCAATTTTTCATAGAGCACAGCCTTGAATATGGGGTCCTACATTAGTTTTTCTCATTGTAATTTAGTACAATACCAGGATGGTTAACCATGAATTAATGTTTATGTTTTCCAACTCAAGAGGGTCAACTGCAGGTTTGTATCCCCTACCCCCTTTAATGTTACTGTTGGTAAAGTAGGATTAATTTATTGAAATATTCCCCTTCTCCTTTAATGCATTTCTTAGTTTGAAGCTGATCGCCGAGCTTTCATTATCACCATTAATTCCTTTGGCACTGAACTTGGTAAGGATGATCGCAACAAGCTTTATCCCAAGTGCGGCAAGCTGTACCCAGAGGGTCTGTCGAGGTTGGCCAGAGCTGATGATTATGAACAAGTTAGAGCAGTGGCAGATTACTATTCGGTACAATTTTACTTCTTATTTTAAAAGTGTAAATTAAGGTTGCTGAGGAGGACATGGCAGAATATGATTTACATGTGTAAGAAATATGTTTGGTCTGGACACTTGAAGTTTTGGTTGGAAGGGTTCACATGTTGCACACGGTGTGCCCTTGTTTAGCAATTATTTTTGTGTGCATGTGTGATATCCTGTCCACCCTCCCTTCATAAGCTTGGTTTTTTTTTCCAGCATCATCATCAACCAGTTTATTTTCACTTTTCACTCTTTTGAAACCCTTGTTGGTCTATCATCTTTCCATCACAGTTGCCATTTTGTTCAGGTTGTTTTCTTTCATGTTATGTTGAGAGAGCATGGTTTTCCTTGTGTTTTCCTTGATGTTCATTTTAAACATTTTGTAAATTACACACATGAAAAAAGTCAGTCATGTAAAACCACATGATTTGGCCTGGAACAGCTTTCCCTTTTTTGTGAGAAAGTTTCTCTTTGATATATGTACATTTATAATGAAGCGGTCATAGAGGAAACGAAAACGCCAAGGTTTTTTTTTTTTAAACACAACGAATATATGAAATTCATATATCTGAACTGCGGTTATAGAAACGTATTTGTGCACAATCCTCACAGTAAAGAGTACTATTAGAACAATACTAGAGCACTGCACTATTATTGCAGAAGTCATTGGTTCAAATCCCATACATGCCTGAATTTTTTCAGGTCTGATTTTCACTTTTGCTAGTGCTCTTTACTGCGAGGATCGTGCACAAATAGGGTTATTTTTTTGTCCTGAACCTTCCATTGACAACATGTACTTTGGTTTTGTCACAGGATTATAAGTCTCTCTTTGAAGGAGCTGGTATAAATCCTGGTGAAAAGACACTGGAAGACAAATTCTTTGAGCATGAGGTATGTGAAGATATCAAGATTTAGAAAATTGTAAATTCAAACCTGAATTTGACAATTTTACTGTTTAAATGTTTGAAACAATGTCAGTTTACCTTTGATAAATGTGGCCATTTTACCCAGTTTCATACTTAGATTTATCAGTCTAATGGTTAGCATGGTGGATAACCTGAAGCTAGAGGGTGTTCTACTTAATATACAACACAAGATTTTTGTTACTGAATACAAAAATTGCTCATCACATCTTGGGTATGAAAAAGTTATGCCTATTGTTTCCTCTGTACAGGTGAAGATGAACACTCTAGCATTCCAACAGCAGTTCCATCTAGGGGTGTTTTATGCCTATGTCAAGCTTAAAGAACAGGAGTGTCGGAATATTGTATGGATAGCAGAATGCATTGCTCAGAGAAATAAATCCAAAATTGATAACTATATTCCAATATTCTAAACTTACAATACTTTGCAATCACTGTGTGGCCATGACATACTGAAATGAAATTAGAAATTGTAAAGTTTGGTTTATGTTGGTTGCTGCATGTTAATAATTTTAAGTAAAACCTTCAACTCCCAGAAGTGATTAAGGTGTAACATCTCCAGAAATTATCCATACATTACCCAGCAAACAGGTGATGAGAATACTTAATAAAACTTATCAGGTAGAGGTTGTTATCTTAATCTAGTACCAAATTCTTGCAACTAATTTACAAGGAAATGTATAGTAGCTACCGGTAGTAGGGAGAATTCTCAATGAGATCTGGGAGTTAAAGGGTCAAGAGAAGGGTGTAGACTTTAGTTATGTATTTTCAGGGAAAGATCTGACAGTATAATGAACTAGAGAACTTGCCAAAGAAAGAATTTGAGTTAAGAAAAAAATTATACCACTGAGGTATTTCATTTTCAATGTATAGGTTTCAGAGAGTTTAAGTTTGACAGTGACAATGGAAATTCTGAATAATGTGATGTACTTCTGTAACCCAACTTATCTAATAATACATGTTTATGATTATAGCATGATTAGCAATTGTGTAAAAAGGATTAGAAACAAGGAATACCAGAAGTCTAGTATGCTTGGGTGAAGGATAATTGAAAGTAGTGAAGTGATGAAATGTTCAAAAAAATACTACAGTGGAATAATTGTTAATAATTCACAATATTATACTCAACCTCATCCAATAATTTCTAGTAATAGAGGTTTTGCACAGCCACCATGTTGGATGGCAGGAACAATGAAAATATTTTGCATAAGAAAGAATTTTTTTTCCCATGGGTAAAATAATCTATTGTTCCTGCCATCCAAGATGGCTGCGGTACAAAACTTCCATTCATCTCTGATGGAGTTTGTTGCTAATATACTACACATCAACTAAAGCGGAGTAACAAGCATTAAAAAAAATTGCAAGGTATTCCAGTAATAGTTCTGTTTTTGTGCAGAACCTTTTGCTGACAATTCATGGCCATGGTTGTTAACTTTACCAAGCAATAATTATTGTCTTAGGTTCTCTCAGGTTGTTACATTTTTGTTGAAAAATAGTTTTTTTTTGTGCCATAGTTCATCAAACAGATGATTATATGTAACTAAGATGGTAAATTATGGCAGCCATAAACATACTGACTGAATTACTTGATGTAAAATGAATTATAAACAGTGTTGATGGTACTAGAAATCAAGGAAAGAAGCACTAAATAAAAAGTGCCCTGCTATGCGTCTCCTGTTTACTTGTTCAAACTGAGATAATGAAGGCTTGGACAAGGCTTGTTTACAAATATCTAACATTCATTTTGTATTACTTGATAGCTGAATATTTTTCTCTCCAGCTAGAGGCCTGACCTTTGACTCAGTCAATAACCATACTCCCAAAAGAAAGACATGCATGACAAACGCATGAACTATACATTGGCCATGTTTTGATGATGTATGGCCTGTTCATAGTTTATGGATTTTGCTCAACCTTACACTGATACTGCTGAATCAGTTTTTGAGATAATTAGATTTAAGGAAATGATCACCAACCTAAGAAGCTTTGGTTTTTTAAGTGAAATCTCCTTGTCAGTACCAGAAGAAATGTATGGAGAAGACTTTGAATAATATTGATACTGGTGATCTCCCATCATGCACTTGTAAGACCAGCAACGCACAACAGTCCTCCAGCACATCATATCTTGAGGGCTTTCCCCGGTTTGCTATTACGTCAGGTCATGTTTTTATCCAGACTATTAAGTTTTAGGGGAGTACATCCATTGCACCACCTTAGTAAACATGCAGAATGTTAAAAGTTGCATCACTCTACAATTACCTACAATTTGTATCCAAAATAAGTGCAAAACCAGCTGGAATAACACAACCTTCAACCAGTAATTTTACCAATTTAATGACACATTAAGCTGCTTTTGGTAATTCTGTACATCAGTTATAGCTACTGGGGCAAGGTAAAAATAATGGGACATTTTGATGGATACTCCAATAAGATGGTTTTCATGTAAATTAGTACTGCAGGGAAGCAAAGGAGAAGGGCCTCGGTTAACAACAGCCTCTTTTATCTTTATCAATTTTCTGAAAAGGGATAAAACTAACAGAAAGCTTAAGTTCAGAGAACAGAAATTTGCTGTAACTCATAAATTCTTCAAACCTAGAGCTTGAGTCTTTTTTAAGTATACTGAGAGTTGCAAGGATCTGTTACATGGGTGCACTTCTCATAGAAAGCCACTGTTCCAGCCTTTGCCCACTCTTCTAAATGTACTAATAAAACATACTAAGCTACATCTTTCTACAATAAAATGTTGTGCGAAGTAAGCTTCCTCCCCTTGATGAGGCATAACAAAAACATTTTTGATGGTTGGTTATTCTTGTCCACAACCATGGGTAATTTACTGATTTAGAAGTCTAAAGGGTTGATGGCGGGTCACACTTAGTAAACCTCTCTTCTTTGTTAATTTATCAAGGTGCTCATTCTATGCGAACAGACTGTTAGTGACAAAATCCCAGTTACAAGACAAAATCTCACATAAACTTGAAGTACAGCAGGACCAAAGCTTTCTCCTTTGCTTAAAGGGAATCCATGTAGTTTATGCCTATCCCTTTTAAGTTTTTATGAGCTTCCTTTGAGATTTTTCTACAGGTTCAAACTGATCCCATGTTATTTTTAATTAGCAATATCTACATACAGTTCTTTGGGACTGAAATTTCCTAAATAATGTGACCACGCCCCTTTAATCAACCCCTTCATTCGTATAAATGATCAACATGTGAATTCTTTGAACAATTATAAGATATTTAAGGCAGACAGATAGTGAGAATTTACAAAATCAAGTATTGCCCTGATAATACCCAAGATTCTCAGAAATAAACAACAAACAAAATGTATGCCCATCAGTTAGGAGAATTGGTTCTTGGATATTAATAGTGAAATGTCGAACTCTGATTATTCTGGAACACTTCTAGTAACAGAGGAGATTAATAAAACAATGTGGATGTTGTTGATTTCATCCCTCTTGTCCAAAATCTCTGGTGAAGTCTTCAAACTTTTTTAGATCTGCAGAGTTTACTGTTGGTTTAGAAGTTGCCAGGGAGCGAAGCATGTCCGCCTAAGAAGAGTAAAACGGAATGTTGTAGCTGTTTACATATCTTGATAAGTAAGGATACCCTCACTAAATAGCACTGAAACTGTGAAATAACCAGTTACAAAATGTGTACCACAAGGTCCAGTTGAAGACCAAGTGGTGCAGTAACAGGGAGTGCTGTCTTTAAAAATTCACATACTTGTTCATATTCTAAAAGACCCATAATCAATCAATTTGCTTTGTTTGCTTGCTCTTTGGTCTCTGAATGGTTAACTTTAAGCTGAACAGTTCTGAATGGCTGTCATTTGCCAACTGTGAAGCTGGGATTTCTAAAACTTCAACAATGCATCCCTGGTGATAATAAGCCTCTCCCTTCCCACAAGAGAATGAATCTCATCTTCTTGAACCTTTCAAACTGACTAGCATCTAATTTCTACAGACAATATCCCCCTAAATCAAACATTGAGGTCATGAGAATGAAGGAAGTGAGCACCAGATAAAGAAGCTCTCGATTGTTAAACAAATTCTCCTTGTCAGCACCTCAGGGAATGTATAGAGAACAGTATGGAGAATATGCATGCTGATGATAGGGTGTAAAGGTTAATAGATCACTGAACTTTCTCTAGGAAGCAATTTTTGCAGTTATTTGTTAGCTGTTTATATTAAGTACTGCAACAATCTTTCTTCAAATTCAAACAAGTCCATTCAGCCTATTATTTTAAGACAGGGAGAGTCCAAAGGTTTATCCATTCTTACTGACTGCTCACAAAGTTGTACTTTGACCCTTAATAGCAACTAGCATCTAATTTCTCCTTACAATATCAGCCCTGAATCACACATTATGGTCATGAGAATATAGGAAATGATCACCAACTAAAGAAGCTCTTGATTGTTAAACAAATTCTCTTTGTCAGAACTTAGGAAATATATAGAGAACAGTATGGAGAATATGCATACCGATGTTAGCATGTGAGGGGTTGACAGTAATGTTATTGTATCAAGAGCCATGGCAGAAATAGTAAAATAATTACCAGATCAACAACAGGTTCTAACAGTTTCTCTCCAGGTACTTGCATCCAGGTCATTTCCCTTGCATCCGAGTCCCCTTTAGAGAAATGAAAGAAACAGAAACCTTTGTCAAGATCTAGAGAAGTTGTTTTTCTGAACACTAGGGTTGTCTTTTTGAAAAGGTGCTCACCAAAAAGAAGATATTACAACCAAGGGAAGGCATTGTAATAAGTGAATGCAAAAATGGTAGCAGATTTCATAACTATATAAATATTCCTTTGCCCATGTTCTGATATTTGTTTATGACCCTTCACCCAACAAAAGTCCAAATTATAGGCTATCTCTTCCAAAATAAGGAAGAAAAGACCCATCCATTCTAAATATTCTTCTGGGTACCTGAAGCATTTTCATACACATTGTGATCAAGGCTGAGAAAAGGGTCACAGACTGGGAAATGAGGATGGGCAAAAAAACCTTGTTGACAAGCGTTATGATTTTGAAAGACTAAACTAGCCAAACGTGAAAAGCCTCTTCTTATCCAAGGGCTTTTACGACCCAATCAACATTTGAAAAATTACATGTGATCAGGTGTCACTGGGCACATCAACAAGCTTTTTATTGAGATTTTTGCATTCATTGAAAACTTAAAGATTCAGACATAGGCAGTTAAAAAAGTTCCACAGTTAACATATCTGTATATAATAAAATACTTACACAGTACGGATAAGAAGTTAAGACTTTTTAATCTCAACTTCTTTAAAAATAAATTGCAACAGATATACCTGGTGAACATGGTGTTAACAGATCATCTTCTATTTTGTTTGGATCTTGTGGGGAGGGACCCCTCGCCTTTTAAAACCAAACAAATAAAGAAAAGAAAGATTTTCGACATTGACACAAATTTGTGGCAAAGAAAGGGAAAATCAGCAAATAACTATTCTTAACATTACACAAACTCTGAGTATTCTTTAAGTTTTGATGTGGGAAAATCTTTCAAAAAACTGGTACTTATTTCAGATTTGGAATAAGAATGATCCCTTTTTGCTTAAGCTATTGCCACATGCATAGTACATGTAGGATTATTTTTTTTTTCCTAATGCACCATTTACAAAAGAGAAAGTGTTAAGGGCTGATCCTAACATCATAATCATTGGGTCCTCTCCCGTGATTGATTTTCAAACTTAAAGTTTTCAGAAAATGAAACAAGAACAGGAAAGTATGCAGACCAAGGTGATTGTACACATCTAGCTATATGCCTTTGCACTGATCCTTGACACATGGAAAAAGGAAAGGTTTGGAATTTGAGTAGGGAGTTACGTGACAGGGGAGGCACTATACATTACAGCAGTTTATTCAAGTAACAAAGAGAAAGGAAAGAAATGTTTATTTTTTATAATTGGTTTTCTCGAGGACGATGACTTGATAACTGAAGTCTATATTTTATGCAAGATTTGATAAAGAGAGATTATACAAACCAGTTTAAAATGTGTTGCTTGTTGTACTTTTCTGACTGGCTGCATCATAGCATCACGTACTACAATGCTGATGTCTGCGCCAGAATACCTGAAATCAAAGAGAGAGCATGCATAGCTCTAAATCAACAATTATTGTTGACAAACACGTGCAAAAAAACTAAGATTAGTAGTCTTGGAAATTAATCCTTTACACCCTAACATCAGCATGCATATTCTCCATACTGTCCTCACTATCATTTTCTTAGGCACTGACAAGGAGAATTTGGTCCACAATCACCAGCTTTGTTAGTTGGTGATCGTTTCCTATATTCGTATGTTCTTAATGTGTGATTTACAGGTGATATTGTAAGGAGAAATTAGATGTTAGTCACTCATAAGGGGTCAGAGGGATAAGCTTTGATGCTCCAACAAGGTTTGCACTTTCATATTTATTTCTCCAATACTGATAATTCTTGATTTAATACATACCAGGAATGATCAAACGCTAATTTATTCAGGCATGTAATGATGCTTCCCTGCAGCCAAACTTAGAGGTGATAGGAACAAGGAAAAATAATACTTGAGAACACAGTTTGATTTACGACAAATTCTTCGAATTAACATTCAAGAAAATTAATGTATGACAAACAAAGACCCTGGAAGTGTTTGGATTAAATAAGAACTGCATTAAATTATTTTCTCATCCCTAATGTTTCTTCCCAATTAGTAAGTTTGACTGTCCTCACCCTTCAGTTTTCTCGGCTAGATCTCTGAATTGTGTGGACTGAATACAATGCTTGATGTTTCCCATATGCAGTTCAAACATCTTCACCCGGGCTGATGCCTCAGGTAATGGGATATAAATCCTTTTTTCAAATCTAGAAAAGATGTTAAGGAAATTAAACCAACTTTCCATAAAATGCAGGATATTGAGTTCAAGATATATTCTGTGATGTAAGCACATGCACAAGCTGGTAGATTTCAAGGCAATTTGCTTGCTTCTGCTTGATGATGATTGAAATTACAGACACAATAAAACTTGTGGGCTATTCCACATGAGACATGAAAATTTGACAGATTTTCAAATTCAAAATATGAGAGCCAAACTTACTTTTTATGAAAGCTTATACATAGTTCTATAAGAATCCAAATCTAGATTGGCAGTAGTGGCCACGCCCAGATGGTGTGATGCCATTGTTTTTGAGTATCTTTATAAACCGAATAAGCCATTTTACAT